CTGCGCACCACTGGCAGCGATATGTGGGCTACATTCCACAGTGAAACAGAGGCTGTGTCCACATTGCAGCGTGTAGCTACACATGTCAATGAAAGGCTCTGGCAGGGGAGATGCAGCAGAGAAAGGCTCCAGCAGCTCCCTGTGGCAGGGAAAGGCTCTGGCAGTGAGGTACCACTGGAGCCCTTCCCCTCTGTCTCCCCGTTCCCCACCGCCTCCCACCTCCCTGCCAGAGCCTTTCCCCACTGCTAGAGTCTTTCCCTGCAATGGGGAAAGACTTGAGCAGTAGGGAGGCAGCCGGACACTACACTGCTCAAATAGCAGTATAGATGGGGGAGGTGTTGCTTGGGCATGTAGAGAGCTGTGTAGGGTGTGTACCCTAAGGCTTTAGGCATGTCTTTACTCAACTCACCCAAGCAATGTCTCACCATCTACACTGTTATTTATACGCATGCTGGGGGGATGTGACCTGTATGTACTCTACATACAGCCATAAGGACTATGCAGCGTAGCTGTTGTGTCTTTCTTTTTCCAAGTATCAGGGGGTAGCCGTGTTAGTCTGTATCCACAAAAACAACAAGGAGCCTGGTGGCACCTTAAAGACTAACAGATTTATTTGGGCATAAGCTTTCGTGGGTAAAAAACCTCACTTCTTTTTCCAGTTAGTCATCTCTAATGCATTATCTCCAATGGGTGACAATTTCCACTAGTAACTCCTTTGCTCTATACTAAGAGGTTGCACCCTTTATTGAGCCCTGTGTCACTACTGTGTAAAACTAACTTCCCTGTGCTTAGAACAGTGAATAAGAATCTTCCAGTACCGAGAGTTACTGCAGACAGATTTACTTATATAATCTCTTAGTCTCTGCAACACAGCACACAATATTTTTTACATTAATGCAGTCTCGTGCAAAGAGATTATGTGGTTGAGTCCTTGCATTGCTGTTAACAGCAAACAGACAGCACTAAATGAATACGTCCCCTACAAATGGGTGACATTTCTACCATTAGTATCATCTGGCAAGCAAAGAGAAACCCTAATTTGAAGAGTTAGTGTAGCTTTCCAGTTCACTTAAGGCTGTAGAGGGGAAAAACCCTGGTTTTGATTTCATTGCCTATTCAACCAAAAACATCCTGTGTATGATATCATTGCCCTCAACAGCACCACTTTTGGAAACATGTTAGACCCATGTTGCATTCTGAAATCTAAGGGATATTGACAGCTTTAGGGATTTTTAGAATCCTCTGTTTCATCGGCCTTTTCCCCCCCGTCATCACTCCATCAAATCAAGAGATCTCATTCTTCCCCATGTGAGACCACTCACCTATGACCGTTAATAATAAGTAAGAAAAATCAATATCAATTCAAGCCCTTAACAAACCAGCATAGGCCTTTCTTTTGTATATATACATACACACACACACACTCTCATACACAAAATTCCACTGGCAGGGCTTCAATAGAAATCACCATGTTTTCTTTGCTGTGCAGAGGGGTCAGATGATGCCCATCTTGACAGAGCTAGTTAACTCAAAGAATGGTGGTGAGAGTCGGCTTTTCATTAAATATGAGCAGATGTGAAATTTAGAGTGTTTGACAATTAGAAATGGCAGCAGCAGGGCCCTGGAATCAAAGTGAGGTCAGATTGGTAGATCAGATTACCTCTCTTACATTCTTTAGTTGTTCAGAAAATCATTTTGAATTAGTGTCAGTGGAGCCATGATGAGTTTTGCCCTTTGTCTTTTATGCTAGAACTGTATTGTTTCCCAAGACACTCGTTAAAGGTCATTATACTATTACAGGGCTTGCTTTGGTCATGGTTCCCCTATTGAGCTGGTGTGCTTCTAAGATTGCTTAATGTGTTTTTCATTTTTATTTTATTTTATTTATATTTTATTTTTAAAAGCAGGCTTTCCATTTTCAAGGTAAATAAAATCAGAGACCATTGTCTGTCGTGTCTTCAAACAGTGAATAATGGTTATGAGAATTAACCGTGTTTATAGGAATCTGGTGCTAAGTAGAAGCTTATGGCTGTATCAAGTTACATATTCATTGATGTACATAGGAGTTTTGTGTGCTAATTGTATGCCCCTGTAGAGGAAGTGGAGTTTACAGTATATGTTGCACTGTAAGTGAAAGAGATTATTTCTCTGTTTATTTACTAGACTGAATTTTACTGAACTTTCAGTTTATGAAAATCACATTTTGATTAGCTATAAATACACTAAAATCTCTTTTGGCATTGGTGGGAACCATCTAAAAGGAAAGAGGTGTTTTTTTGCAAATGTAGGGAGATATAAGGTGAGCAGCAGTTTTTTGTTTGTTTTTGTGTTCTAGCTGCATTTTGTAGGTAGAAACACTATACGGCAATTCAGTGTTGCTTCCAAATCTTGGTTTGGAGGTGCAGCAACACTGAGGTGAAGAGTGGCACCTGGACTAATTCAGAAGGAAGAAACCACTTCCTTGATGGAACAGATTATTGGGTGACGTTCACAGAATTAGTTACTATGTACAAAGTCCTAAATGGAAGAGGAACAGGTTAACCTAAGGACAATCTCACTATCTCCAAATCACAGTATGACTGATATTCCTCAGAAATCGATGGTCCAAGAGTAAAGGTTTACTACTGTGCTCTAATCTGTGTAGGTTATTTTACCATGCCCATCTCCATGGTATCTAGGCTTGCAGGTGCTCAAGGAAGGGCATTAATGGAAGTGGGTTGATATCTGTGTAATTCCGTTCCTCGGGAAATACACTTCAGCATGCACCTGGCTATGTTTAGAAATATTTGTGTGATCACAGCAATCTTGGCTACCATCCTGGATTGGGGACCTACAAAGGAAAGCATGGGTCTCAGCAGCTTGAACTAAAGAACCAGGCTCTATAACTGGGGTTGAAACAGATTGACATCTTCTGTGGATCAGGCACAAAGAGGAACACATAACACGTATTGACCAGTGGGTTATAGTTAGAAGATGCATGGCTTTGCCTAGGTTTACCAAACTTATTAAACTTTGAAATCCTGGGTTCCTAACTGACCAGTTAGATTAAAAGCTCTGGGCAGTAAGAAGGAGGCGTAGTTTTTTGTTCCTCTTATTTGGAATATTAATGATTCAGTGACTTCTAAATGAGTGCACATATCATTGCGTGGGAGTGGCTGCTGTCGGAGGTCCAGATCCTCTGCTTTCTATGTTAAAAGGCGGGATTTGATGCCTAAAATCCACAGTTCCTAGTCTGCTGCCATTTCATCCATGAAACAGCCTAAGGACAGAAATACCTGCTCTTGTGGAGGGCTAGGAGCCATGCTGGCCCATGCTTGCTGTAACATGGAGCATGCATCAGTAGTAGCATGGTTATTTCATTCTATAATGGCAATGGATTCTCTTGCTAGACACTAATGTATACCCCCTCTGTAGCATGGAAAAGCTATGGTCTGAGGAGTTAGTGCTGCTCAAGGCAGCCATAACTTATGATCCGGATTTCATGTAACTTACACTGCTCTGAAAGGGAATATGCCAGATACTATGCTGTTCTCCAGACTCCTTCCCCAGCTGTGTGAGCTTCACTACAGCCACGGAAGAGATAGAGGTGCATGTGCTGTTGGGGATACTAGTATTATTATTATTGTTACCCCATAGACACCTTTCCCCTCCACCTGGCCCAGTGACCCTCTCTCTGCTCATGCTGTCTCCTCTCTGTATTGCACAAAAAGCAGACTATATGCCATCAGTGTATTGGGAAAGGAGAGGTTGAGGGGGAAAATTGATGGGATCTGTTGAGGGAGGAAAGATGGATTTGATTTAGATCCCCCAGAATATGCTTGTTAGGTGTTGAGCAAGTAATTATGATAAGATGGGTATGTTTTTCTAACTCGGTTTTATGAAATGACCCAACCTCTCTGTGTTGGAGAATGTTAGTGTTAGCTTGTTCTATCCTGACATTCCTTTAATGAGACTAATATAAAAGGACAATTAAAATGAGGGCATAGTGACACAATAAAAAGCTTATTAATTCAAACCCAGAGAGAAGACAAATCATGCAGTGTTTGTCACGAATATCCAACATTTGTGAAGTAACCCAGTGAACCACTCTGTGGGGAGGAAATTGACTTACATAAAGCTATTTCCAAAAAAATTATTCCTTCCTCCAATGGGACAAATTTTTCCTTCAGTTACTATTGAAATTGATAGAGTTACTCTGGATCTATTCTTGTGTAACTGAGGGCCAAAATGTGTGTGATGTTTCCCCTAGATAAATCTACAGGATTGTACGCATCTTCTTCAAAAATCCTAGAAATAATTTTAAAACATACTTACGTATGTTATAATAAGCATTCAATTTTACCAAGGAAATAATTTTAAATCACATAGTTATGGTAAAAAGTCCAGCACAATAAAAATCAAGGCACCATACAACACAGCATCTTAAATGTAATCTTTAGTGCTACTGGATAATAAACAAAACCAATTTATTTTCATTAGCTCTATGCACAGACTAAGCTACTGTCAACAAAGCTGATGTCACCTAAATGCCCTTTTAAGTATGCAAAACAAGACAATGGAAAGAAATGGCACAAAGGGAAAATACCTATGTAGGTCCCAGTGCTGTTCTGTTCTATGTAGGTTCTTATACTATGCTCCTCACTGTGGCCCCTGAGTTTGTAGGTGCTGGAGGCAGGGCATTTTTGATAATAGTCCCAGGCCCCTGGAGTTCTTGCAAACCACAAAACCAGTTTCCATGAGATGTATATTTCAGACAAATAAGAACCCCATAATTACTCTTTGGTTTTATGCTTAAGGGTTTTTTTGGGGGGTGGGATGATTTTCCCCCTAGCTCCATTTGTATATTTTTGTAGGCTGTCATGCAGTACTGCCTGAAGCTGCCCCGACTGATACAGTTTTAACCATCATTCCAGAGCTGAATGTTGGAACAATGATTTCTCTGAACCAGTTCTCAGCCTAGTTGTCTGCACCTCTATCACATGCTAGACATTTTCACTTACTTTTGCGTAATCCTTCCACCACTGCCTCAGTATATTTCCTCCCTGCAGACGTTGAAATATTTTCTTTCTGGTCACTGGTCCAGTGCTTGGAATGGTATGCCGGTCCTCTGCGATGATAATGAGGCTTTGGACTTTAGAATCATATCAATCAGTCTGCCATCTTCTGTCCCTCTTCATTCACAAGATTTTAGTGGCCACTGAAAACAAAAGCTGGAGCTAAAATCTTGAATCTACATACTCTGAAATGTTGGAAATATGAGATATTCAATACAAAAGTCTTACCAGAATTAAAGTAGGAAGTAAAAGCAGGATGGTGCTCAGAATGAAGTGATTGTGTAAGGTCTGCTTTCTCAAGGTTAGGAATGTTTTGGCAGAGCAGTGTGAATGCTTTCAGACAAAACCAGTGGTTGTAAAGAATTATTTAGTATCAGTGAACAGAAGGGAAAATAATTCCAGCCCTGTATACTCTATATTGTGTGGATTTGTTTATAAGAGAGAGTGCAAAAGGGAGAAGACACTGCTGCTCTGAAGTTTTTGTCCCTCTTTTAAGAGCAAATAGTTGCTGTCCATATGTGTGCATGTTTGAAAGAGGGATGTGAAAGAGTACATGTGAGCGAGTCTGTTGATGCACATGTACAAGAAGCTCAGCATTTGTGTGGCCTAGAGCATTCATTTCTAGTTCATGAGTTAGCTGACCTTAAAATTATCACCGGTCCCTCAGTCTAGCAGTGTTTTTTCCATTACTGGACCAATCCTGGATACATACTGTATGAACTAAATCTTGTACCAGTGTGATCTTTGTTCCTTGCACACTCTGTGCAGTGTGTGTGTGTGTGTGCGCGCGTGCGCACGTGGTGCATATGTTCAGATAAAAAAAGAATTAGATGTTTAAAATCATATAGTGTGCTGTCTCTAAAGTTTAGCAACATAGAGTTTAGCTCTCTCACCACACCTTGCTCTCATCCAGCATAAAGGATATTTACCAATAGTTTAAATATTACTTGTTATTTTAGACTAATTACAAGACAAAAAAGTAAGATGAAACAATGTTTTTCAAATATCTGACTTCCAGTACACAATCAGTGTTGGATTCTCATAAAGATGAAAAATGAATCCTTTTTATAGGTGCATATTTTAATTTAAACCTGAGCAATGCTAAATGATTTGGCTTTCCATTAATTTGAGGATAATATGAGGATATAGATTAATAGTGATTTGTAGAAATGCAGGAGCAGAAAAAAACAACAACCCAGCTGTTCCTTGTCAACCAGTAGAATAGTAAAAGCAAGACAACCTGACTAGTTGTTCTACATGACCAGAATATATGAATAATGAAACAGATGCCTTTTCAAATGAGTTTTGTGGCGCAGTGTTTACCAGTGGGCTAGTGTGAGGGTGCTCTGCCTGACTCATGATGTCTGTGCAGCAAAGAAATACATACAGTAGCTTCAACACAGGACTCAGGCACTGCTAAGTTTAGCAGCAAATCTTTTTTGAAGAGTTGAGAGGGGGGAAAAGAGACCAAGAAGTCTTTTTTAATTCCTTTAGGCCTTTCCATTGGGTAGTGTTTCTTACCAGGGTCACAGGGAAGTGACTAGTGAGGGGCTTGCCTTGATGGGGACATGCTAGGAAAGATGCTGTCTGCATCCTGTGGAGTGAGTTTAGCAGAGGACCTTATGCAAGGTGACATGGAAATTATGTTTGCATTTTTATTTCCTGAGTGTGGCTGGTTGTCATGAAACTCACCCTGACAGTTTCTTACCACCAGGCAGCAGATTCTTCCTGTTACCTCCTTGGTGTAGGACAGATGCTAGCCAGTTAGCTCTCCGTCTCTCCTGCTTCTGAGCTATCTCAAGCGACAGATGCCAGGGCCAGCTCGGTTTCCACTTGAGCATTTCTGTCATAGCCCTGCCTTGAGCCCAAATTCTGACCTTTACTATATGAAATAAAGTACTTATGAACAAGCAGAGGCTTGATCCAGAGCAGGCTTAGAGCAAATGTCAAGTCAGTCTTCTGCCTCCTTGTTCCACCTGCATTAGGAACCTAGCTTAGACCCTAGACTAGAGCGTTGAATGCCTTAGGCTTTATGGGTCTAAAGAGACATAACTTATTAACAAAGAGTTATTAAATTTTTATCAGTTTTACAACACAATGTAAATGTCTCTTATGAATCCACACTGTATTCATTATCATTTATAACGTTAATTAAGTCAAAGTTGCATTTAATTTAGTTCTAAATGTGCCTTTGGGAGGAAGCTTTTAGAAACAGCTGCAGGATTGAGAAGCACATCAGTGATGGGAAGTTCTTAGTTCCACTTTCAGGATAGGCCCCCAACTTGATTACCATTTTGTGTCTGAAACTAATTTGTTGTGATGTGATTGGACATGGTCTTAGGTTAATATTGGACCAAAATCAGTGGAAAACTATTCCATAAAACCTTATGCTGGTCACAGAGACACTTGATAGTGTGATCTTGCCCTCCTTTCAAATTGTCTCCAAATTCAATTGAACACATAATCTAGAATGACTGCATTCCTAATATATTATAATACTTTTTCACATGATGCAGCTGTCATTGGTTGAGTATTTTCCTACTCTTAGGGAAGATTTTAATAATTTATTTGCATAGATTCAGAATGTTTTCAATCAAATGTATAGGAAAACACATCTCTTGGCCTTGAGTCTTCCAAATTGTGCTTGAAGTGCAATGTGTTATGATCAAAATCCAGTACAGAATGGAAGATGGTGCAGTATAACGAACTATGAGGGAAGCCATCTAAATCAGAGTAATAAACAAACATGCATGTATTTGCTAATGTATCTATTATTGATAATGCAAAATGCCTCTTTATATTGTACTGACTGTGTCAAACACATACCACCACTGGAATTAGAAGTATAGATCTCTGAAGAAAATAGCTCAAAAATCAGCTGTAGTTTTTAGTCCCTTTTTCAACTCTAATTGAAATACAGAACATCTTTCCTGTGAAAGAACTGCCACCAGAAATCTTAGAAAACCTTATAGCTTTTCTGAGCTTTGTCATGAAATTTCCTTTGTTTGTTCTTGTCCAAAAGATTTTGTTTGCATTAAATGTATCACCATTTGCATTGCAATGTGCATGGCATTATCTTTATTCTCTAAACTCCAGTGGTGATGTTTGTCGTCTGACATAGTTGGTACAATATGGAGAGGCATTTTGCATTACGGTAGCTATGCTGCTAGAGGAAACAATGGCAACCAGAAGCAAATGTTATCTCCTGTTAATATACCATGAGATCATTGGTCTTGCACTGTTTTTAGCAAACCATTTACAGAACAGATTAGCATTTGTCATTTATTTCTTCTTTCAGTTCCTTTTATAATTAGCCTCTTCCTTGAATAGTATGTATTTGAGGAGATGACTTCCTCAAACTTTTGATAATGATTGTAGCTGTGACATGTGAATCACAACTTATAAATCAAGTAAAATATCAGCCTAGCTGGTAAATCCTCATGGACTACTAAAACTAAGATTATTTTAGCAAAGAATAAATGCACTGCTACATTAAAAGGGATGGGTACCTCCCATCTGTAAGTAACATTCAAATTCACTCACACAAACCTATACATTATTGGTAAATTTATTTCTCCCCTAATTGTTTTTATTGACACTGGTATAATAGCATTGGAATCTATGTACTGTGTACACATTTACTTTAATATCTGCTAACAAAAAAACAGTGATTCCTTCTGTATTATAAAATCCAAAGATTGCCTCTTTGGTATCAAATGCTATCTTTGTTTGCTATCTTTGTCTGGCCCTGCACTTAATGTCTTCTCACTTTGACTGTAAAGAGAGAGCGAATCAACAAGTTTTCTGCTATTCGGGAAAAAATTCTCTCCCTGGGGACAGATACAAAGTTGATAAGCGCAATATAAGAATTTACATAGAATAGACTAGTCTAATCACATCTACTCTACAATACCCTTCCTGGCAATTCACCATTGCCCTGCACTTTGTGTGGCAAACCACTTACACTGCTTTGAACTGGTGTAAATGACCACAAAAGGTGGAGGGCAAAGGTGAATCAAGCCCAAGATCTAAAATGGATTTTCTTGGTCTTATATGATTCCATATTTCTTTATCTGCTATCACTGTGACATTTTATATGATGAAATATTGTTATTCTTATGACTAACTGGCACTGGCCCCTTCAGCATGTTTTTGATGTATTTATCAGTCCTGTGCATCCATGATTTACTGTCCCTGATCTAAAATACACCTGCAATCCTTAGTATTCCCTTAGCTGGGCTAAACATAAATTTGCTGCTTTCCTTAAGAGGATATCATTTTAATTCTTGCATAAGATCTCCCCACTTCCCCCCCCTCCACACACACACGGTCTTTATTACAGTATCTTCTTTGGTACTCAATTCTTTTTACTCCGTGAGTGCTTCCAGTTATCACCACCCCATACTGCCCTCTTCTTCTCTCCCTGTATTTTGGCTTTCCTGTCCAGCAGAACCATCACTGAAGAGATGAAGCATACCAATTTGTAGCCCAGATAGCATGGCGATAAATTGTCGCCTTTGCTGTGGTTGCGGATCCCTGCCTGTGGTGTAGATAAACAGCATATTAAGTCATTCCACTCATTATAGTGGTATCACACCTTCAGATTTGTCTTGCTAGGGGGTACTATCATGACTTTTCCAGTTGTAATCCCAAGCACATTCTCTCCCAATGGGGTGAAGATTAAATATTCAGTCATTGGTTCTGGATTTCTAGTGTTTCCATCTCTAGGACCAGATCAAGATCTGAAACTTATTTTGATTGATGGCTTGATTCCTTTTGATACCGCAGTTCACTCACCCACAGTTGCACCAAGCACTCTCCTCCTCCCAAATAGGTCAGCAACTGGTTTTGAGTCAATACATCTCTAGTCTTAGGCATTTCTTGAGGAAATGCATAAGCAGAACCTTTAGGCTTATGCAGCCCGCTCCAAGGTCCCACATATCCCTCAGAGAATATTGATATCCTTAAGGTTCTTCACACAAGGAATTATGAAGTCTATAAGTATATAAAATAGCTTTCACCTGTCTTCAGCACACGATTCTTTGATCTGCCTTCTTCCACCTCCTCTAACAGGAGCAAATAAATACTGCAGAGATAGAACTCCAAGCAACATGCTCTTGGAAGATGACTTTCTTGACAGCTGACAGTGTCCCTTGAGAGCTGGATTTCTGGATGCTTTCGGAATCTCACTCTCAAAACATCTGGCAGCAACACTCTAAACCTATTGGCATCCTGTGCCATTTGCACTTGCTATAGATTACTTTTAGGGAGGAACCCTACCCACAAATCTCATTAAAGCTAGCATAGTTCCTTTCTTTGTGTTGGAAACAGCTGCTTCTTCCTGTTGACCTCCTGATCCCACTGAAATAAGTAGCAAAATTCCCATTCACTTCAGCGGGAGCAAGATCAGGACCTATGTAGTGGCCAAAGATCTTATAGGGTTTCCTAATAGACTTCTCTTGTGTTGGTTTGGTCAGTCGTCTTTTTCCCATCTCGTGCTGCCTGCTCTGCAAATGAGCGTTTCTAAGTTTGAATACTCAGATACCTAACTCTCAGTGCTTACAGACCATATGGGCCTTTTCTAGCAGCTGTAATACTGAGAACTGAAGTGTTCTCTTAGGATCTGTCTAGACAGCCTGAGCTGCTAATTCAGTTCCATGGCAATCCTGTGCCCTGCCACAATTCCACACACACACACACACACCGCCCCTTTCCTCTCCCACTCTTTCAATGCCTTGTTTTCAGCTTGGCCATATTACCACCTTGTCTCCTTCAATTCCTGATGCTCTTGGCCAAACTTTCACCCCAACTTGATTAATAAAACCAAACTCTGTTCCATGTAACACAGATTTTTAATGAACTTTCCTTCCTGAATCTGCTCCTTTTGAAGAGACATGACTTGGCCAGATAGTCCCACTCGTGCCCATGGCCAGTCGAATAAGCAGGTTTGAGTTCCTTGCATAACTGCAATAACAAAAGAAAAAATAATAATCCATTCTAATACTGTACTTTGGCAGTGGTTTCAGTATTATATTGTTTTTTGCTGTTTGCCATATAGAGATGTAATCTCCATATTATAAAATTATGGTTAGCTTCCCATTAGATATATGTGAAATGACATCCATTTCCTTCATGTAACAACACTAAGTAGTCTGGTCCTACCCTCTGTAGGTACTTGAGTGTTATCAGTGTAATATTTTTGTTAGAGATCTAATCAGTGGGAATGTATAACAGTAATTTGTTATTTCACAGAGGCATCTTGATTCTGCTTTGTTTTTGTAAGAAAAATATGATCCCTGCTACACACATCCATCCTTTAGAGTACTTTTTCTGTTAGAGATCAAATCACCATTGTAAGTAACGTTGTCATTAGTTATCACCACTAGATTTCTTAGCTTACACTTTATTTTCCACTCTTAAGAAATTGTAAGCCTTTGCTCCCCCGCAACAATCAATTGTAGCCAAACTACTGTCTGCTTTGGCAGATGTTTTAGCATTAATTCGTTGTGCAGTTGCTTTTGCAGCTATAATCGGAGTTAGCTATCACATATCCATTTCTTATTATTATTGTGTTACTTTGCCTCCTCTCTTTTGCCATCGTTTACCTAAAA